TCATTTTGCTTTCCAAGGACATCGTTCTGGGTTCTGCCTTCTGCCTAGGCCGAGTAGACCCCGGGATGCTAGAGCACATAGGTTTGTCTTTCTTAACATGGTCTGTGGGTTCTGAAACATTAACATGGGGCAGGTGGCTTCCATCAAGTCTAATCAGAAGGTCCATGAACCTGTGGGCATTGACTGTCCCAGGACCAGGGTGAGGGTGATCCCCCACCCAGCCTAGAGACTTCTTCCCACGCAGCCTGCTGTTTTTCCTCAAAGGAACATACCGGCCCTTGAGAACCATAGTTTATTTATTTTGCATAGTAAATAGTAGCCTTCATTTTGGCCTTGGCCCCTGTAATTTATCAGCTTCCTAGTGTTGTGTCTGCTCTCTCCAGCTCTGCTGGGGCGGAGGGCAGTAGGTGGGAGAAAAGGGAGAGGGATGGTTGGAAACCAGGTGGTGAGACCCGTTGCCCTGTCATCTGCTCTGTGGTGCTGGATGTGGCAGCTGAGCAGCCAGACACAGAATGTCCCCAGAATGACGGGACACTGCCCCAACTCCTGAGAGTGACCCCTGATTCTCCTGCTCCTAGCTTGGAACCTACAGAGACCTTTGGAAGCAACTGAAGAAAACCTAACATGAAAGGCAAAACCCCACACTGAGAATATAGAGGGTGCCTGGAACGCACACTCACACAGTAATTCTTGCTAAGACTTATTTCCAGATTTTTTTTTCTACTATTGAAGAAATACTAGAGAAACGAAAGAAAGAATCTGCAGACTGTGACCCACAGGTTAAATCTGGCCTTGACCTAAGAATGGCTTTTACATTTTTAAATGGTTGAAAAAAATAAGAATGATATTTTATGACACATGAAAACTACATGAAATTTTAATTCCAAGGTCTATAAATAAAGTTTTATCAGAACACAGCCATGGTATTTGTTTATCGTTAGTGGCTGCTTTCTTGTGACAGCAGCAGCACTGAATGGTTACAGCAGAGACCACATGGCACTCAAAGCCTGAAATATTTACTGTCTGGCCCTTTGCAGAAAAAAAAAATTGCTGACCTTTAGCCACAATGGCTTATGCCTGTAATCCTAGCCCTCTGGGAGGCCAAGATGAGAGGACTTCAGCTCAGGAGTTTGAGACCAGCCTGAGCAAGAGCAAGATCCCATCTCTACTAAAAATAAAAAAAATAGCTGGGCATTGTGGCAGATACCTGTAGTCCCAGCTACTCGGGAGGCTGAGGCAAGAGGATCACTTGAACCCAGGAGTTGGAGGTTGCTGGAGCACTCTACTGAGGGTGACAAAGTAAGACTGTCTCAAGAAAAAAAAAAAAGAATTGTTGACCTTTGACCTGAAAATAAAGGGGACATTAAAAATGAAGATTAATTTAAAAATTTTTAAACTATAATGAAAGTCAAGTGGAGAGGAAAATAAATTTTCTAGAACTTATCAAGTCAAATGAGTTAAGGCAAAATTGCAGGCGGGTGGGATCCTTCTCAGAAGCAGAGATCTTCTCAAAGCAGAACTTATCCTTGTCCAGCTGCCCTCCAGAGATCTTCTCAAAGCAGGACCCATCCTTGTCCAGCTGCCCTCCTTGCTGGCAGTGTGCCCTCTGCCGTGTTACCCGCACCCGGGTCTCCTCAGCCTTTCAAGCCCCCACCTTCAATATTATTCTGGATTCTAGTCTCTCTCCTTGACCCCGACCTGATTGTGAAGCCCAGTCTAGTACTTTCTCAAACATACTTCTTAAATCTGTTCCTTCCTTTCTGTCACCTCTGCCTTTTAACTGCATGCTGGGACCACTGCAGTCACCTCTCTGCCAATAGCCATTCCTTACTCATCCCTTGGCCTGCATCCTGCTGCCAGATTCACTTTAGGGCACCTCTGGGATGCTGCCCCTGCCTGCGAACAAAGTCCAAAGCGGTCACCTCACTACACCTGCAGACTTAGCTGAGCGGGGAGCAGCTGGTGTGTCCCATAGCTTCCCCATTCATTATGGTCTTGGTGGGTATGCAGGTGGCAGAGAAGGGATGTTGCTGGCCACCGCCTGAGCTACTCCTCTGATCCAGACACAAATCAGGGGCAGGATCAGGTGACCAAAGGAAGAGGATATTCCTCATCAGTGAGCCTGTCTTTTCAGGGCATTGCAGGGCAGTGACCTTTGGGCCTTCGGTGGTGAGCAGAGCGTGGCAAGCAGTCACCTGTGCAGGTTCTTGGCTTCCCACACCCTCTCCCTGGCACCTTTGGAGGAGGTCCTCCCCCTAAAATCCATGATTTTAGAATGTAAGCAACCACTGGATTGGGGATAAATTGACCGCCAGGGTAGAGATCAGAGTCGAACAACCCTCTCCTGTGAAACTTGCCTCTAACTCAGTGCTTTTCAACTGGTATGCCACAAAAATTATTAAAGACCATTAATTAAATTATTTTCCAAAGTTCAAAGCACAGTAAGTAAATTCTGTCTTTACTCTTTTTTTTTTTTTAATCAACATGATTTAAGTGTGCCAGAGAAGTTTCACTATAGGTTCAAGTCCACTGTGAGATAAAAACAGTTGGAAAACGCTGCTCTAACTCCATCTTCTCACAAATTCCCTGAGCAGCAGATTTTCCCACCAGGGGATCACATCTTTCTGGAGGGTCCCAAAAAGCATCCCACAGTGCTAGGCGATATAGCCGTAGCAAGGGTGCAGGAATGCATTTATCCCCACGGAGAGAGTCAGAAATCAGAATAAAAAACATATTATGTTCTTGGGTGGGGAAACCAAATTTTGTGGAGAGAATTTTTTAGAGTTTTGGCACATAATACAATTCCAACCAAAATCCCCATGGAACTTTGAGAATTTGAGGGAAAAAAAATTCTAAAGGCCATCTGGAAGAGAAAAAAATACAAGAAGGTCAAAGAGTTTTGAAAAAGGAAATGAGGATGAGGACGTCTGAAAGACTTGAGATCCAAAGCTTAAGCCAGGGGGCTCTAGCACCAAAATTGATAGTTAAATGGGGGCAGTTGCATGTACGTTTAGCTGGGGAAGGGGACGGATTCATCTGCAGACAGGCTGACACCACTGGCTTAGCTATTACATTTGGGGGAAAAAATATTCAATTCCAACCTCTTTCACCTAAATAAATTCTTATATTAATTATAAAGAATTAGATCACCAAAAGCATAGAAAAAAATATTGATGATCTTTGTGTACCATAGCATAATGGAATAAATCACAAAGGAAAATAGATTAGACTATATAAAAATTAAAACCTGTCAGCTGGGCACAGTGGCCTGTAATCCTAGCACTCTGGGAGGCCAAGGCGGGTGGTTTGCTTAAGCTCAGGAGTTCAAAACCAGCCTGAGCAAGAGCAAGACCCCATCTCTACTAAAAAGTAGAAAAACTAGCCAGGTGTAGTGGCACATGGCTGTAGTCCCAGCTTCTTAGGAGGCTGAGGCAAGAGGATCACTTGAGCCCAGGAGTTTGAGGTTGCTGTGAGCTGTGAGGCCAAGGCACTCTATCAAGGGCAACAGAGTGAGACTGTATCTCCAAAAATAAAAATCCCGGCTAAAGTATTGGAGCAAAAACCAATAAATAAAAATAAAATAATCTCAAAAAAAAGGTTAAAACATTAATCAAAATGAAAGGCTAAAAGGCTAAAATAAATCTGGGAGGTCAGGCACAGTGGTTGACATCTATAATCCTAACACTTTTGAGTCTGAGATAGGAGGATCCCTTGAAGCCAGAAGGAATTCAGGACCAGCCCTGGCAATAGAATGAAACTCCCATCTCTGTGCATCTGTGGTCCCAGGTAGTTGGGAGGCTGAGGCAGAAAGATCTCATGAGCCCAAGAGTTTGAGATTACAGTGAGCTACGATCAAACTACTGAACTCTAGACCAGGAAACAGAGTGAGGCCCTATATGAAATAAATAAAAAAATAAATAAAAACTGGTGTGAAAAATTAAAATTAAAAAAGAATGAAGCAACATAAGGAAGTATAATAAATCAGTTTTTAAATTTACAGTTTTGGTTTGACGCCCATACCTCATTGGTTAGGGTGCCGGCCACATCCACTGGGGCTGGCAGGTTTGAACCCAGCCTGGCCTGCTAAACAAAAGAAAAATAGCCAGGTGTTGTGTCGGGTGCTTGTAGTCCCAGCTGCTTGGGAGGCTGAGGCAAGAGAATCACTTAAACCAAGAGTTTGAGGTTGCTGTGAGCTGTGATATCACCACGCTCTACTGAGGGCAACATAATGAGACTCTGTCTCAAAAAAAAAATTTACAGTTTTTATGGGCTAAGAAATAAAAATCAAAAAATCTATGTTCTTTGTGTGTCATATTAAAGTAAAAAAAAAAGTATAAAAGTTTAAAGGGAGAGAGTGAGAGCATCTAAAAGAGGGAGTTTTCAAGAAAAGAATAAAATAGGCTGGGCACAGTGGTTCACACCTGTAATCCTAGAACTCTGGGAGGCCAAGGCAGGTGAATCCCTTGAGGTCAGGAGTTCAAGACCAGCCTGAGCAAGAGCAAGACCTGTTTCTACTAAAAATAGAAAAACCTGGGTATTGTGGTGGGCACCTGTAGTCCCAGCTACTTAGGAAGCTGAGGCAGGAGGATCTCTTGAGCCCAAGAACTTGAAGTTACTGTGAGCTATGATATCACAGCATTCTAACCAGGGCAGCAGAGTAAGACTCAAAAAAAAAAAAATTCATTTTTTAATAAAGTGGAAAGAAAGCTGGGTCTAATAACAAGGCAGGCCCACCAAACTTGCCTCACCCACTGGTTTTGAATATAAACTCATATGATGTTAGTGAATTAAACGTGCCCAGAAATGTAGCTGTCACTTTAGCCAGGATATAGGGTGAGGCTGACCATCTGACGGTTTAGCGAGGGGAGTAGGGGAAATCTGCCTGCTATGAAGTGGGGGCACCTCTGTCCCCTCACCCCTCGACTGCACTCCCCTCACCCCTGCCCCCATATTCCCTGGAACTCACCCTCCTTCTTTCCTCAGGTGAGTCTTAAACCGGGATGGCTGAGCCCCGCCAGGAGTTCGATGTGATGGAAGATCATGCTGAGGCGTACGGGCTGGGGGACAGGAAAGACCAGGGTGACTATACCCTGCTGCAAGACCAGGAGGGTGACGCGGACCATGGCCTAAAAGGTTAGTGACGCGGGAGTCACAGCCAGCCCATTTGCTTTGGCAAGGACTGGCGGGAGGAGTCGGTGTGCAGATTTGTGAAGGACTTTTAAGTTATTTATTTTCTTAGACTGTCAACACAGTGAAGCCTCATTAATTTGAGGGGACCCAGATAATCCAAAAGGTGAGGTTATTTGAAATTTACCTTTCCCAAGGAGAGTCTGCCATGAGTGAGTGCAGTGTGACAAAGATGGCAGGCCCCTGGTTAGTCTCCCAACACAGAGTACAGGTGTTCTTTTAAGTCTTTCGCCACACCTGGGAGCCTAAAAATCAGTTGTATTGATTAGCATGTGAAATATATGGCATTAAAAGTTCTTTTTTAAATTTCTTCCTGGCTTGGCACCTGTGGCTCAAGTGGCTAAGGCACCAGCCACATACACCTAAGGTGGCGGGTTCGAATTCAGCCCGGGCCCACCAAACAGCAATGACGGCTACAACCAAAATATAGGCTGGCATTGTGGCAGGTGCCTGTGGTCCCAGCTGCTTGGGAGGTGGAGGCAGGAGACTCGCTTGAGCCCAGGAGTTGGAGGTTGCTGTGAGCTGTGATGCCACAGCACTCTACCCAGGGAGGACAGCTTGAGACTCTGGCTCAAAAAAAATAAAATATAAATAGGCTCGGCGCCTGTGGCTCAAGTGGCTAAGGCACCAGCCACATACACCTGAGCTGGCCAGTTCAAATCCAGCCCGGGCCCGCCAAACAACAATGACGGCTGCAACCAAAAAATAGCCAGGCGTTGTGGTGGGTGCCTGTAGTCCCAGCTACTTGGGAGGTGGAGGCAGGAGACTCGCTTGAGCCCAGGAGTTGGAGGTTGCTGTGAGCTGTGATGCCACAGCTCTCTACCCAGGGTGACAGCTTGAGGCTCTGTCTCAAAAAAAAAAAAAAAAAAAAAGAAAGAAAGAAAAAATAAGTAAATAAATTTCTTCCTTACATCAGGCCTGAATAGCCCCTACTGGGCAAGAGTTGTTTAGCTCTGGGATTCTTATTATATCCACATTAATAAACTGTTTGTTCTTTTTTTTTTTTCTTAACTGTTTTAACTTCTAAATGTTCTATAATAAGGTCTTGTAGCCAAATTGTCGTGGCCTCGTCCTTTCCCCTTCCAAATAAGTGTGTTTCATTTCACTGCCGTCATGTTCAGGGAGCCCCGTGGAGCAGCAGGGCCCCGTGTCCCGCGTGACACTGGCCCAGGGGTGCTGCCTTGTGTCACAGGGAGCTGTTCTCCCGCAGGTGTTGCTGGCAGCTCCAGGAGCAGCCCAGACTGCCACCCCAGAGTGAGGACTCAGTCCCCGCCTCTGGACCATTTCTGAGGAGACAAAGTAGCAAACAGTCTGCTTTTCTCTTTTAATGCTAAAAATGACAAAACACTTTGCAGCAGGGGTGTGGGTAGTGATGGTAGTTGTGGCTCCGAGGTGGAGCGGGACCTCTACTAGGTATGGCTATCAGGAAGATCCCTGGAGGTGGGGTCACCAGCAGCTCCTGGGAGTGAGAAGCTGGGACCACCAGGTGTCCCACACGTGGAGCTGGGAGAGTTTCAGGGCTTAGCGGAGAGTGGGGGAGCGTTTCAAAGGCTAGATTCCATCTGTTGATACAGGGGAAGGTGTTGGATGAAGAGGAACTTGGGAATTGGAAAAGTGGGCGCAGGTTGGCTGGAGGGAAGGGAAGGACAACGTGGCCCACCCTGCGTGAAGGGCAAGGGCGGTGCTCAGGGGCTGGGGAGCTCAGGGTGAGGGGAGTGGAGGAAAGTGGCTCCAGCCCAGCCGCCCTGCGGGGTCAGACAGCACATGGGCTTGGGAACGTGCAGCCACCACACAATGGCTGGAGTTTCAGCTTCCTACAGAACACAGCTGGGAGGCCGAGTTGGGAAATCTGTTTTCCTTTAAATCCTTCTCAGTCCCCTACTCCCTGGGTCCCCTCCACTCCACCTGCGTGGTCTCCTCCCTTCCTCCTCCCCCCATGGGCCTTCCCTGCTCTCTCCCCCACCTCATCATGGCCAGGGTATCAGTTAAGGAAGGGGTGGCGGCCCTCAAGCCCCAAACCCCAAAACTTAGCCTTTTGAAACCAGCTACCTCATGGCAGGGTAGCACTGCTGTGGGGGGGGGGGATTGTGCCTAGGAACCAGGTTTTGCCTGTTTTCCTGACAGAGACCCCAGGAGCCCCTCACCAAGTGCGCAGACAGGGCACACGTGGCCAGCATATCGCTCTGGGTCGTTACTAGTAGCTCAGTTTCCACTTTCAAGCATCCCAATTTAGGTGACAAAGTAGATGGCTGCCCTGCTTATCAGGGAATTTCTTTACCATGATAACACGGGCATTTTTGTAGAACACTACCGTTGGCAAAGGGCTTTTGTCACCGAGGATCTCAGGAGATGCTCACAGCAGCCCTTGAAGGCAGGTCACTTCCCCTTTACAGGTCAGGAGGAGTTTCCTCCCTAAACTCCTGTGGGCGGAATCCTGAATTGTGCCAAGGAAGAATGACATTGATTTAGAGGCAGAGCAGCCTGCTCTAAAAATTAAGTTAAAAATCTATATCATGTTGCAGGTGGCACCTGTGGCTCAGTGAGTAGGGCGCCGGCACCATATACTGAGGGTGGCAGGATGGAACCTGGCCCAGGCCAAACTGCAACAAAAAAATAGCCAGGCATTGTGGTGGGCACCAGTAGTCCCAGTTACTCGGGAGGCTGAGGCAAGAGAATCACCTAAGACCAGAAGTTAGAGGTTGCTGTGAGCTGTAACACCACGGCACTCTACCTACCTAGGGTGACAAAGTGAGACTCTGTCTTTAAAAAAAAAAAAAATATATATATATATATATACACACACACACACACACACATATTATATATCATGATGCAATAGATGCCCTGTAATAATCTAAGATGTTACAACAGGGGAAACTGGACTAGGGTATACTCTCTGTACTCTCTATAAATCTAAAGCTGTTCTAATGCAAATTTTAAATTGCTAAACTTCCTTTTTTTTTAATTGCTATGAAAGGAAAGCATTTGAATATAATTTGCTTACCCACAGAATATACTTCCCCCCAAAGCATGTAATTCCTAAGAGGTTTACATAGTTCTCATCAAATTAGTTCTTCCTACCCAGGGTTTAGAATGCGCTGTTTTTGTACAGGGAGTGACAGGTTTGACTAGGCAGAAGGTGTCATTTTCCTAGCAATATTTTAAATAAGTGACAGAAGACTATTCTGAACAATGACAAGAAACCACATGTTACATACCAGAATAAAGAGTATCTCAAGTGGCTCAGGCTGAGCGCAGTGGCTCATGCCTGTAATCCCAGCACTCTGAGAGGCCAAGGCGGATGGATTGCTTGAGTTCAGGAATTCGAGACCAGCCTGAGCAAAAGCAAGACCCTGTCTCTACTAAAAATGAAAAAATTAGCCAGATGTAGTAGCAAGTACCTGTAGTCCCAGCTACTCAGGAGACTGAGCCCAGGAGTTTGAGGTGCTGATGCCACTGCACTCTACCCTGGGTGACAGAGTGAGACTCTGTTTCAAAAAAAAAAAAAAGAGAGAGAGAGAGAGAGAGAGAGTGGTTACTAAAAGTTGAAACAGGACTGGATACCACCAAAGAGAGCTGCAAAGTGGCTGTAAGTTGGTTACCTGGCAAGATAATACAGCCTAGTGAATAAAAAGGTATTGATGGTTAACTTGTTACACTTTCCAGATCAGATATTCAAAAGAGTCTTCTTCCTTCCTCATTCCCTCCCTCCAGGGAATCTAACAAGATCAGTGCAGACGATGAGGATTTCAGTCTCGGGACAGATTGGGAGAAGCGCACCGTCGCCCCATATAAATTCCCCTATGCCCCAGCAGTCAAGGCTGGTTGATAATAACAGACCCAGCAGACAGTCTGCATGATGCCACCTCGCCATTTGTCCAGAGCCTTCTGAGGCTATTTGCAGGTTTTTGCAGGCTCTAGAACTAAGGAGCTGTGTGTGTGCTGGAAGCTTATTTAGAATTAACTGCTCTTTGGTGGGATGGGCATATCCAGGGCTGGGTGCCAGGCATGATGTTTTAACAAAGAGTTAAAATGGGGTGTATGATCTCGCAGTGCACCTGAACTCCACTTGCCTTGTTTTCCATCTTCTCATTCTGCTTTGTGCCCCCATTTTAAAACTGACACTGAGGTTGTCCCTGCTCCAGGTAGAGTGGCTTCCTCCAATTTATTGCCCAAGGGTCATCTCTACTGAATGCCCAAGACACACCCAAATCCTAGCAAGTCAAAAGCAGGCTCAGTTGACTCCATCTTGGGCCATTTCTTGGTTCCTCTGCTGCTGGTGGTACTACCACCAACTAGATCTTTGTGACCCTGGCCAGTTCTTCCTGCAACATTCACAGCACCCAGGGACTTCCCTGTTCCACTCGCCACTAACCCCATGGCCTTTACACACTCCTCCCTTCATCCTGTCATCCACCAAGGGCCAAGAGCCATTGTTTAACCTGGGTCTCAGCAAACTACACCAGCCAAATCTGTTCCCCAGCCTGTTTAGTAAAAGTGGTGAGCTGATGATGGTTGTTACTTTTCATATGGTTGAAATTAACCACAGTCTTGAGCACATGGCTTCTATCTTCAATGTGTCTCATGGTTCAGAAAGCCTGCTGGAAAAGCAGGAGGGGAGCAGGGCACAGGCAACACCTCCATGCTGACCTCCTCCCTGCCAGACATCTTCCTGCCCAGGTGGCCAGAAGATGTGGCCTTTTAACTGGGCACAGTTCCCTTTGTCCTGCATTATATTAGGGCTTTGTTCCCAAGGAGGGTAGAAAGAGCAGACACCAGACGGGACCTCAGAAGTCTGTGCCAGAGAAGGGGGTGTTTGCAATTTCAAGACTGAAAGTCCCCATGCATTTGATGGGGTATTGGTCTCACACAGACTGTCACTACAAAGTGATGCTTTGTATCATATGGCCAGAGCAATGGTGCAGTGGTCAGCAATCTGCTGGGAGCCCCCAGGGATTTCAAGTTGGCATCTGCGTCACCTGTGTCAGCAGCACTGTAATACTCAAGTTCTTGTTAATGATCCGAGCTATTCCGGGCCCTTCAGCCAAGGTGGCATAATAGTGACCAACAGTAATCACTGCCACTCCAGAGGGCTTCCTACCTGCTACACACAGTATAAAGTGCTTTAGATAAGCAGTTTCCTGCTCACAGAGGGTGGAACTACTATCATGCCCATTTTACAGGAGAGAAAGCTGAGGCAGAGGGAGGTAAGGTAACTTGCCTAGAGTCATACAACTGGTAGTGGTGGACCCAGGATTTGGGGCCCATCTTCCTGACTCCAGAGGCTGTGATCTACCTCCCTGCCCTCCAGATTTCAGTCTAAGCCATGAATAGGGACAATGAGGCAGCAGGGGAATCTCATTCACCCAATATGTGCACGAAGTGTGAGAAATTTCTAACGCACAGAAGTGAGTGACTTCACCGAGCAGAGAACTGAGATGCCACTGGAAGACTGGAGAGGCCTTTCTGGGCATGCAGGGTCAGGTGCAGGAGGAGCTAAGGAAAAGTAGATGACTAAGAGGTCCTGACTAAGGGCTCAGAAACTCTAATGGAAGCTGTTCATGTTACCATCTCATCCATCTTTCCATCCAGCCATTTCTCCATTGGTCCTTCTGTCCATCTGTCCGTCCATCCATCCAATCATTCAATCATCCATCCAATCATATATCCAATCTGTTCAATTACACATTCATACATCTATCTGGTTATTCAATTATCTATCTGATTATACATTTATCCGTCTGATGATTCAGTCATCCATCCATCCATCATAGTTTGAGCCATGACTTCCTGCAGTGGTCACCTGAGGACAGTCCAGGTGGGCCTGAGCTCAAGGGGGAGCCTGGGACTTGGCTCCTTCACAGTGATGAGCATCAGACTCACAAGTATAAATCCTCAGGCTTTGGAAGTCCTTTCGCCAGCATCACTCATGGGATCCTCCAGCAGCTCCAGGAGGAGGTAGATAGCATTGATGTCATCACACCCAGTTTATAGATGAGGAAACTGAATTCCAAGGCCACCTGAATAGATAGAGGTAGAACTGGCACTTGAACCCAGACATCTGGGCCCTTGATCCAGTGCTCTCTGGACTATCACTCCTGCTTCCTGTTGGGAGACCTCCAGGAGGACACCACCAGCTCGCCGTGGGCCATAGAGTCTTTTGCTCTAGGTGGTCCTCCTTCCTCCCTCGGTAGCCTGTGCTCCTGGAGGGCAGGCTGTGTCTTCTGAGTATTTTGGTCCCTTGCAAGCACCCAGCACTTGGTTCTGTACACAATGGGCTCTGGAGGAGTCTTAATCTTCCGTATTTTAAAGCCTTGGCTTGTTCAGCTGAGATCCTGTGTGACGTATCAAAATGCCCATAAAATGACCGAAGAAGATTGAACACTGGTGGCCAAGGTGCCACAGGGGAGCTTAGGATTCTGAAAAGGCAGTTTTCTTGTCGGTACCCACCACCTCATTTCAAATGTAACTTGTTCTCAGTCCTTGGAGATCTTTCTATGAAAAGAACTGGGTCAAGTCCAGATACACCACGTGTCCATTTAGAAGTATGTACTGTGTCTGCCCTCAGCTGATTCCTTTTCCAGAGAAGCAGATGAATTTCTGAGTGTTTTTCAAGGTGTTGACTTGGCGTTGATCAATAGCACCAACAACGCTCATCTCAGCTTTCAAGTATCTGCTGCCCATTTGTCAATAGAAGCACCTTTTCCTCAGCAGAACCATAGCTAGTTAAAAGGCAATCTCTCCTCTCACCTGGGAGCAAACACACATCACCTGCATCTTGCCCGTCAGAGGACCCTGGTGGGAGCACAGTCGTGTTGGGATGGGAGTGGGGTTGGCACCCTCTGGTTCTATCATGTGGCCATGTTCCAACTATCTGGGTTCCATGTTGATGGACTTGCAGTTCCTGAATGTGTCCTGAGGTCCAAAGTTGGGGGGCAGGGAGAGGGAGCCATTCTAAGGGCTCATTGTATGTGTTCCAGAGTCTTCTCCACAGACCCCTGCTGATGACGGATCTGAGGAACCTGGCTCTGAAACCTCTGATGCTAAGAGCACTCCGACGGCCGAAGGTGGGGCCTCCCTCCCCTCCCGGCTCATTCAGACAGCTCCCACCACGCTGCAGCCTGCGCTTAACCATGCTCTGAGCCCCCTTCCCTTCCTGGAAGCTGCTGCTCCTGCTCCCTCTGGCTGAGAGATAAGCTGGCTCCATGCTTTGCAGAATGGTGCTGCAGGAGCCCCACTTGGTGCCTGGCATGGTGCCCTCATCACGTGTGTGCTCTGCAGGCGGCCACTCTAAGAGGGGCCCACGTACGGGTCCACACAGCCCTGTCCCGTGTCAAGTGTCCTCCTTCACCCCTTTAGAAGCCCCCACTTTGTTCTCCTTTCATGGGCCAACACCTCCCACAGCAGCCATGTGACTGAAGGAAGGGGACAGGGCAGTGTACGTCTCCAAGTCCACATCCACAGACTGGTCTCCATATAGTTTTTTTCCTCTTGGGGGCTCTGGGCAGGGTCTGGGCCTCTGGACTTTGGTCATGGTGTTTATTCCAACACTTCTTTTAACGTGTCCTCTCCAGACATTTGATATCTAGGTGGTTATAAAGTGCCTTGTATATTTCCTGAAGTGTCCTTCGATCCTGATTTTGACCAATCATGACTGCATTTGGCTACAGGAAAAAGAAAACCCAGCTAACTGTGTCATATCCACAAAGAGGTTTATTTGTCTCGTGTAATAAAATGTCCGTACTTGGGCAGCAGCTCTCCAGTGTCATTGGTGCTCTTCTAGGTTTATCTTGTCTTCCTTAGTGGTTGAGTTGCTGCCTCATGGTCGCAGGATGGCTGCTACACTTCCAGGCATCACATCTGCCTTCTAAGCAGGCATAAGTAGCAGAGTGGCCAAAATGGCCCTTAAACCAAATGTGTTCCCTTTGTATTAGGAAAGCAAGAATTTTCTTGCAAGTGGCAGATTCCTCTTGGGTTTCGTTGATGAGAACTGGGTCTCATGGCCACCCCTGGCTGCAGGGGAAGCTAGGATATTGAGCATTTTTGCTTTTCAACCTCTTCACTAAAAGAAATCAAGGGAAAAGGGCATTGAGAATGACTTGGAGTCTCTAGTCTTTGATGCCTGCTCTTCCAAGTCTCCATTCTTCCCGAGGAGGTTCAAGGTTCTGTTCTTAGCACCTCTCCAGGCCCTGCGTGTGACTTTGGGTGTTAATGTCTGTGTTTCCGTGAGAATCTCGCCCAGCATCCCCCTCAGCATCCACTTCTGGATTAATTTAGGAAGTGGCTGCCGAGGGCCTGCCAAGGCTTGGTATGATGGTGCATCTTTGGAGGATGTGGCAGGCGTGGCCCTTACCCACAGGGTTCTTAGCCCAGTGAGGACAATATCCAGGCCAAATTCTCTTTGCCATTTGTAGAGCTGGTGAGGTAAGACATTTCCTGCTCATCTTGTCAGGACAGTTTTGCAAATTGCCTGCCACCCTGAGAAAGTCCTGAGCCACCATGCCAGACCTCACACCAGCCTCCCAAATATTGAATTTCATTTCTCTGTCAACATTATTCTGAGGCCGGATGTGGTAGCTCACACCTATAGTCCTAGCTTTCTGGGAAACTGAGGCAGGTGGATTGCTTGAGCTCAGGAGTTCGAGACCAGCCTGAGCAAGACTGGAATCCTGTCTCTACTAAAAATAGAAAAACTGAAGCAAGAGGATTGCTGAAGCCCAGGAGTTTGAGGTTGCTGTGAGCTATGATGATGCCATGGCATCCCACCCAGGGTGACAGAACAAGACTCTGTCTCAAAAAAAAAAAAAGGAAAAAAACAACCATTATGCTGAAAGAACCTCTCAACCAAATCTTGCCACACTCTGGACCCCATGCATGTGTGGCCTCAAGAGCTTTGGCTCTCATCAGAGGGAAGGGAGCCCTGCTGGTGCTGGACTCTGCCCAGCCGCTCTGCCTACATTCAAGACGACCATAATTAAAATGTCCTTCATTGAACTAAGCTTACTTAGGCTCTTGGAAAGCCTTCAAAGCTGACGACTCCTTATGTTTGCCCGGAATGGCCTGGGAGTGTGCCAGGGCATTGCTCAGGGAGGAATGCTGACTTGGAAGTATTCACCTTGATGAGAGATTGACAGCAGCTCCTGGTGGCAGATCTGTGCCTCCTGCCATCCAGTAGGCGAGTACCTGGCTCTGGGCAGGTCTGGGCCTGTTTATTGCCATGCAGGGGACTCTACTTCTTGATTGTGGGTCATAGGCTCTGGACGAAATCTTGGAGATCATCTAGAGATGACACTCTCATTTTATAGATGAGGAAACTGTCCAGTCAAAAAGGACACAGGACTTGCCCAAAGCCTCACAGTACAACTACAGGCTCTGGCCCTAACCCCAGAGTCCCTGAACTGTCTTAGTCCCAGTCCCAGCCTCTTGTTCTGCCTTAAGGATCAAACAGCTATGAACAATCATCTGGTTTTCCATATTTTTTCTTTAAAACTCCCAGGACCGTGCCTGGGATTCCTTTCCCCTGCAATAACGTGGGGCTCTGGCCTCCCTGGCAGGTGCGCAGGGAGGGGACATCTCACGAGCTGGCGCCACTCATAGAATGCAGGAGTGCTTTTCTTTAAAACTCCCAGGACCGTGCCTGGGATTCCTTTCCCCTGCAATAACGTGGGGCTCTGGCCTCCCTGGCAGGTGCGCAGGGAGGGAGGCATCTCACGAGCTGGCGCCACTCATAGAATGCAGGAGTGCTTGCTGGGGAGCTGTGGGCAGAGTACACCCTGGGCCCTGCTTGGTGGGGCTGCTTTCTTGCATGTGGCTGATCCCCTCCTGACCTGACCCCCTCCCTGCACTGCTCCTGCACAAGCAGCAAAGCAGAGGCTTGGTGTGGCCTGACCCCATCCCTCTAAGGTGATTCTCGGTGGTTTCCAGACGCGACAGCGCCCTTAGTGGATGAGAGAGTCCCTGGCGAGCAGGCTGCCGCCCAGCCCCACCCGGAGATCCCAGAAGGAACCACAGGTGAGGGTGCTCCCCAGAGACACCAAGGCGCAGGAGGCCTCTGTGGGGTGCCCCAGCTGACCCACTGCAGGAGTGGATGGGTTGCCCTCACGAGGCAGGAATGCAGGGAGATGCCGCTTCTGAGAATCTTGGGCTGTTAGGAGCTGGATGCTGGGACTCCCTGTTGCTTCTGTGACTACTGCCAGTCCCTGCCTCCTGCATTCAGAACCTTCTGGAATCCTTCTAGACTCTCCTGGTCTTGCCTGAGTCAGCACTTCACTCCAGAGAGTTCTCTGTAGGGTTTCTCTCACGTGTGCCTTCTTCACATGAGAGGTCAGTCCACACTCCATTTGGACTCAGCCCAGTGTCAGCGTCACTCCCCAGGGGGTGGTTTGTCCCCAGAAGCATGTGAATGTGCAGCAGGTCCCAGTGACTGACCCCACCCACACTTTTTTTGAAGGTCTTACTGGGGCAGTCCTGGAGCACTTCAGAAATGCAATCTGGCATCCACTTGTAGGACATGTCCCCTTTTCAAACACATCCGCATGGAACAGCCATGGGGAGAGTGTCCTGTCAACATGAGTCACGGGGAATCGGTCAGACAGGGCTCGGGGCTGCCGAGCTGTTTCCTTCACGTCCTCATCACTGCACTTAGTAAAGTCTCCAGCCGTTGGTTCAGTGCCCAGTTGCCCAACAAGCAACGCAGAAGAGGCCTAGACAGGATTTCACCAGCAGCGGACAGCAGAGGAAATGCCCCCAGGCAGGAGCTTTGCTTCCCTTCCTAAAGATGGTGCTCCCAGAGCCATCTGGGAAGCCTGCAGCTTCCTCTCAGGCTCTTTGTGCTGGAAATGCCGGTGGTGAGCACCACACCCCCGCCCCACGCCATCCAAGCGCACTTCTCTGTGAGTTGATCAGCCGTGACATCTGGGATGAGAGGAGGGCACTTCCTGAAGTTAGGCAGAGCCTTGTTCTTGAGCTTGAAGGACGTTTGAAGGTTGTGGCACTACTCACAGGGTGAGATCACAGATAACTTGATTTTATCTCCTGCTATTCCGGCATAGTTTTTTCAATGAGGGAAGTTTGTCCCCAGCCCAGGACGAAAGCTCTAGCCAACTCTTGGCATTTCCATTACTCCAAAGTAATCAGAAGCACTTTAGTCTCCATAGTGGCAAACCGTGAGTCTTCGAGTGCTGATTAGAATGGCCAGTCCTGGCTGGGTGTGGTGGCCCACTCCTGTGATCCTAGCACTCTGGGAGGCCAGGGCGAGTGGATTGTTCAAAATTAGGAGTTCGAGACCAGCCTAAGCAAGAGTGAGACCCTGTCTCTACTTAAAATAGAAAAGTTAGCCTGGTGTAGTGACACACGCTTATAGTCCCAGCTACTTGACAGGCTGAGGCAAAAGGATTACTTGAGCCCAGAACTTGAGGTAGCTGTGAGCTGTGATACCATGGTACTCTAGCTTGGGGCAACAAAGTGAAACAGCCTCAGAAAAAAAAAAAAAAAAAGAACAGCTAGTCCCATGTGATAGCCAAAGCTTCTAACTCCCCTCAGAGATGCAGCCATTCCCTTGGTGGCGAAGGTGCCTGGGCAGTAGGCGAGACAAGAAGGTCCTTTCTGGGCTGGCGCTGATGTGAGCTGCTCCCCACTGCCTAGAGAGATTTCCAGGAGACTCTCATGGGGACCTGATTTGAATTCTCCCAGACTCTTTGTCCCTACCCACTACCCATCTCCAGCTTTCCTACCCTGGAGATTCTCCTCCTGCACTGGACTCTGGCAGACTGGAATCTGAAGGTCCTCCAGCAAGGCAGGACCTTACAGAGGGGCAGCCACACTATGCTTGTGGGAAGTTTCACTGGAACACCAAGGTATAAAAATAGGACATGCCTAAGAAAGGTGCCAAATTAACATCTGTGTGGTCAAGTCACCCAACCTCCCTGCCCCACAGGGAGCCCCTGGAATCTGAAGATCTAGTTCTAGCCTCACCTCTGCTGAGGATGGCTCGCTCCAGCTTGAGGCCTGTTAGAATGACCTGGCCTGTGCCCACATCATTCCCATGGGAAACCCGGGGCACATAGACTGCTCACAGGGCTACAGTGACTGGCCTTTCCCCTGACCCAGAACGGGATTAGCCTGTCTCCCATCCCCTGGTGTTCCCTGCTGGAGCCCTGACAGCACTCTGCCAGGTCCCTAACCAGAGGGACACAGCCAGTGTCTCCACATGGTGCCTGGAAATCTCAGTAAGTCTGAGATCAGAGGTGGCCATCAAGCCAATCCCTAAGCTACTCTCTCCAGTGAAATCCACCCTCCCAGCTCTCCACACCCCCCTCTGTGGGGCAGGGAGGTTGGGTGACTTGACCACACAGATGTTAATTTGGCACCTTGCTTAGGCATGTCCTATTTTTATACCTTGGTGTTCCAGTGAAACTTCCCACAGGCATAGTGTGGCTGCCCCTCTGTAAGGTCCTGCCTTCCTAGAGAACATGGAGTCTTCATGGTTCCATGTGAAAGACTCCCCCAGGACACAGAGAGGCTGCTAGTGATGTGACGGCCAACCTCCACCCACCCTTCCTCCCTGAGTTTTTCTGAGCACCTCCCTTTCTGGGGTCAAGGGATATCAGAGATACCACAGCCTCCGATTTCTGACTCAACACCAAAGCACGGACATTGCAGCTCTGCCCTGGCGTGTGAATGCAGGTCAACTCACACCCAGTGCCAAAGCAGTGACATCGTCTGGGAACGTCTCTTCTTGTGCTCTGTCTCCAGGACTCTGGCCGTTTAACTGGACTTGCTGTCACTCTGAGCCTTTCTTTCATTTCCATCACCTTGTCGAAACTCAAACCAAATCTGTGCTCAAAGCTATGCCCCTTGGACAGATGGGCCAATACTTGCTCAGTGCTGTGGTCACATGATAAGGAGCTGTTACCACTGGACCTCATGGGTAACACAGTGTTGGCTGGGGGGGTCACCCAGAGGGTGTCCCTGCTGACCAACTGGTGAGCCTTCCTACCTCCACTGCAGCTGCCCCAGCACAGCCAATGGATTACTATTTATAAGGCAACCTAGGGGCCATCTGGTGACTCAGAGAACCTTTCTTCCCACACTCTCCTTGCGGGCCTGTGCTGGCATGCGGTGGTGACTTGACATTTCTGTGTTAGGTGCAGACATTCATTGCAGGTCAGGGAGATAAGACTGATGGCCCCACCAGCACCTTGTAGGCATTTCTGAGCATGGCCTCTCTCTCAGAGTGCTTAGCGCACGCTGGTAATTCTGATGTTGTGATATCAATGCTTGTCAATGTGGCCAACTTGTCTTATAAACTCGCTTTCTGGACAGTTCTATCCATTGTCCCATAGCCGTATCCTGAGTGTTTCATGAGGCAGAAACTGGTGTTCTAGGTATTAAAGCTGATTGATTTTGGTACTATTGATGTGGTCAGGAACTTTCTAAGTTCTCTTTGTTTGGGGTACATCATGGCTTCCTAAACAGGCGCCCAAGGCACCCCACAAGCTGCTCACCTGCACTGCTGGCCTCCCTGCCGCCAGGTCACGCCCATCCTAGGCATGCCATTAAAGGGGTTAGCCCAGTAATTTGGATAATGAAACTCAACAGTTTAGGCCCCCTGCCATACTCCAAGCGCTAAACATGTTCACCCAAATTCTCTTATTAACCCTCACCATCCTCCTACGAGACAAATTATTCTCATCACTTTGGAGTTCTAGGTGGGGAAACAGAGGCTCAGAGAGATCAAATGCATGACGGCACCTGGACATGACCCCATCTGCCTGACTCCACCACCTCAGCGTAGTTGTTCCCTAAACTTCCCACCCTCCTGGTGTGCTGGCTGAGGCTGGGAATGCAGCCACTTCTCAGGCGCAACCCCCTTGCCTCTCCAACCTCACCCATGTTGTGCGTCTTTGTTAAGTGAGGCCTTCAGGACCCCAGACCCACAGTGGAGAAGGCCTTGCCTGCTAGATCACAGCTGCTCTTGCATGTGAGTGTTCCATGTTTTGTTTAGTGAACTTGTATCATCAACATCCTCAGCAATGACGTTTGCAGAGAAGCCAGAGCTGGTATCCTTGGGATGTGCCTTTCCTGAATGTTTTAGGAAAGTACCAGAAAATGTAGAGAGCTTCGTTTCTAGAAATCGAGTAACTGTCTTTGCTTTTTCTTTCTGCATTTGCTGACACCTAAATCAGCTGAAGAAGCAGGCATTGGAGACACCCCCAGCCTGGAAGACCAAGCTGCTGGACACGTGACCCAAGGTCAGTGGGCTAGAACTGCCTGCCCCAACCTGAGGATTGGGAGGAGGGACTTGGGGACACACGCGGGTGGGCTCCACTCTGAAAAGAAAAAAAGGAACTTGGGCCCTGATTCGTGAGTCTAGGAAATTTTGGAGAGTTGGTTCTTATCAAAGGTGGATTATTCACATGTAGAAAGAGCCTGAGTGTTTTTTTATCTAACATCATTTTTGAGTAATTCCTAAGGCGTTTAGTGTCCTGAAAGAAGCTGGCCTTGTCCCACTTGGGCATTGAGAATGAAGTCCAACAGAAACTCATATATATATATAAGGGCCGATTCTCCCTGCAGGCCATCCCCTGGAAAGTCTGCGAACAAGGCCTCGGCCATGTCACCCCCACACTGTTGCTTTTGAGATTTCTTCTTTGCAAACTTCAAACCTCATCATGATTTTCTTCTCAGGAACCAAACCACTGTGTTCAAGAGAGGCAGCTTTCTGTGATCATTTATCAGAAATATTTTAAAAATTAAAAATTCCTAATTGTAGGTAGTAGAGACCTCTGACAGAGATTAAATGCAGGCTGGGTTTATTTTCTATCATTTGCCAGATAAATGAACTTGAGTCTCCTCTATAAGGTGGAAACTTCTAGACTGCAAAAGAGCTGGGAAGACGCTGTTCCTTTTTTTCCAGAAAGTGATGTGGGATTTATCCACTGTTTAGCGCTGCCACTGGTGCTGCCAGACTTTGCCCTGTTGAGGGTATTTCAAGTCCTAACTACAAATTCCTGTCAGAGGGATCACAGCCCATAGGGAGCTAATGTTTCTCTTCTCATGTGGCTCGGAAAGCCATGTCTTCGTTCTTAGACTGACAAACTGTTAGCAACGACAACCCATCTGTAAAGGGGACCTTTGTCTGTGCATAAAATAACTAGAATCCTGACTTCTATCTCTCTTAGGCCAGACTTTGCAGCTTAGGTAAAAGTAGAGGCTTTTTATAAAGTATGACCTCTAGAAATCATTTATTTTCGTAGAAATGAAATGATGATTTTGAAATGGTGAGTTTGAGTGTTTTCTACAGATTTTTAGTGCAGGCTGTGTCTGCATGTCCCCAAAACATATTCCCTGCAACCAGAGATCAGGTCACCACCTTTCCTATGGTGCTCACTGAATTTTTAACTTTCTGACAGCAGCCAGGAATCAGAGAAGTGTAATGTACCTAAGATAGAAAGAGGTGTTTCAGGATGGAGCTGCAATATGGTGAGAGTAAGATACGGGAAGGCCTTAGCCACACCTGGTATACAACGAGGGGGGACACTTTCTTCTGCAAGTGTCCAGGAACCAGTCCTCCCAAAGAAGTTGTCAGGGGACCGCTTTTCTGGACTAGCCTGTTTGCCCAAATGCGTGTTTACCTGGGCCTCCCCCGCCCCCAGTGATTGCTGTGTTTAATATTTGCTGAGCACTTCAGAGTGTCCTGGGAACTGATAGAACATTCTCCTAGCCCGACTCCTTCCTCCAGGAGTTTAACTTGCACCGCCTTAGGTTGCTTAGTGATCACACCACAGGAACTGTACCATTCTGTAGTGGTGGCTTTTTGAGATGCATTTACCATTTATATTTGGGGCCCTGTCTCTCTTTTAATGGGGTCTCTTAAAGTCTGTCATTCCGGCTCAGTGCCTGTGGCTCAAGTGGCCAAGGCGCCAGCCACATACACCTAAGGTGGTGGGTTCAAATCCAGCCTGGGCCTGCCAAACAACAATGATGGCTGCAACCAAAAAATAGCCAGGTGTTCTGGCAGGCGCCTGTGGTCCCAGCTACTTGGGAGGCTGAGGCAGGAGACTCGCTTGAGCCCAGGAGTTGGAGGTTGCTGTGAGCTGTGATGCCACAGCACTCTACCCAGGGGGACAGCTTGAGGCTCTGTCTCCAAAAAAAAAGTCTGTAGTGCCTAAGAGTACTATAACATCTGAGTCAAGAGCAGTTTCTAGGGAGCTCTGGGAGAAAAACATTTTCCAGGAGGCAGTGGAGACCTGGCCTGTCTTTTCTCTGGTCAGCCCAGAGCTCAGGCTTAGGGCTGTCTCTGGGGCCCGTGTTTCTTTCCTGCATCTCTGTCATCTGGCCTGTTCTTCCCAGACGTTAATCAAGGGCTCCAATAAGGCCCTACAAGAAGCAGAAGTTGGTACATTTTCTTGATGCCAGTTGATCCAGGCAGGATTCATTTATTGGTCATCTGCTATGTGGCAGCTGCTGTGGCCGACTCCAAGAATATGAAGTAAACGAGGTCCTGAGCTTGGCTGGGCGCAAGGTGAAAATCAAGCCAAGCGTGGCCACATTCAGCAGGGAGCCAGTGACAACCACCCTGACCTGATTAGCCTGGCGAGAATGGGCCGGCCCAGGTCGCCCCTGTGCGTGTCCGTGACTGCACTCGTCACCTTCCTCCCTCACCCCCATCTAAATCTCTTTGTCTTTCTAGCCCCTGAATCCTTTGGGGTTACAGGTTTTATTTGAAGGAGAGCTGGTGATTCTGTTGGCACGAGGCAGGATATTCAAAGAGTTGGGAATTATAAAAAAAAGGCGGGGTTGCCAAAGACTACAATTCTCCCATGCTGAATTCACAGATAGATACTTTAAAGAGGGGTTCACATAAATGTCACATTAATGGACCAGGAAAAAATGAAGTGTGCCCTTGATCAACTGCATTGGTGTGCAGCAAGTTGAGTGGCCAGGGCACAGCAGTGGTCCCCGAGGGCTGCCACTGTCTTTGCCACACAGAGCCTTTTATTGCCACAGTGGCACCCCATGCTGAAGGCCTGGTCAGTGACTGGACTGATCTGAATGGTGCCTCTGTCCTAGGACTCTCATGACAGTTCTGTTAGTGAAGTCTTGATCCTTGATGGTCATAATTTTGGATTTTCCAAATCTATCAAAGAATGGGTTTGAGGCAGGGTCTGTTTCTGGGCACCTGCTGGTTTCATGTCCCAAAAAGAGAAGCAGTGAAAGAGAGGGAGAGAAAAGGGGATCCTTGCCGCACCCAAGCCTTCTAGAGGCCAGAATCTTCTGGAGACTCAAATTCCCTGGGAAGGGGGGAATCTTCCATAGCACTGGTGGGTTAAACCTGGGGCATCCCCAGACATGCTGGCGCACTCTGCCCAACCGGAGCCCGTCAAGAGAGGAATAATGCCAGTCCTAGAAGGTCTCCAGGGCCAAGCCCCCACTTCACAGATGAGGACCCTGAGGCCCACAAGGGGAGGTGCTCACCCATGGTCACCCAGAGACTGGAGGCACACAAACCAAGGGAGCTTCCATTCCAAGGAACCAGAGGCAGTGATGCGAGCCCAGGGCTGTGCTCCTATGCCTTTGTCAGGGGGGCTTGAGATGCCCAATAAATGTCCTCATGTCCCAAATGATGTTCCCTCTCTCAAACCACTAATTCATCCTTGCTAACTTTTGCCACTGCTGCCTCTTCAAATCAGAGGAGTGGAGAGTTCCCAGCCAGCAGAGCGAGGCAGCTGAGAGGCCCCTGGCCAAACAGCTGAGCCCTCAGGCCCAGCCCGGACACAGCGGAGAAGCTTCTGCGGTCTCAGTCCCACCCCTCGGGGAGAAGCAGCCAGAAGCTCCCGTGCTGGTGACCACTCACTTTCCTCTGCAGCACCCCCTTTGCCCAGTGTCTCCCCAAGCAGGAGGCCCTCAGGAGTACCCCCAGCTATGGGAACCAGAAGGTGGAGACCAGGCCAAGAAAGGTCTGGCCTTTCCCAAGCTTCTCTCCCCTGAGTGTCTCCACATGGAGCCTGAGAGTGTCAAAGTTCCCCAGGAAGGTGTCCTTGGGGAGCCAGGACGCCATGGATTTGAGGCCTCGGGCACAGGGATGCCAGGCTTGAGCCATCCACAGGTGTCCACCATGCCCAAGGCTCCCCCACTGCCTGAGGGTCCCAGAGAGGCCACACACCAGCCTTCAGGGACACAATCTAAGGACACAGAGGGGAGCCAGCAGCACCTGCATCAGGAGGGGTCGTTTCTGAAGGGGCCCGGAGGCAAAGAGAGGATGGGGGGTGAGGAGGAGGATGAAGACCGCGATGTGGACGAGTCCTCGCCCCAGGCCTCCCCTCCCTCTCAGGCCTCCCCCACCCAAGGCAGGCCGCCCTTCCACACAGTCTCCAGAGAAGCCGCTGGTGTCCCAGGGTTCCCAGCTGAGGGTGCCATCTCCCTCCCCATCGACTTCCTCTCCAAAGTTTCTGCAGAGACCCCCACCTCAGAGCTCGACAGGCCCCTTGTAGGGCCGTCAGAGGAAGGGCACGACGTACCCCCCGAGTTCACGTTCCACGTGGAAATCAAACCCAACGTGCAGAAGGAACAGGCGCGCTCAGAGTTGGACTCGGAAAGGGCCACGCTTCCAGGGGCCCCTCGAGAGGAGCCCCAGGCCCAGGGCCCCTCTCTGGGAGAGGATACAAAAGAGGCTGGCCTTCCAGAACCATCTGAAAAGCGTCCTGCAGCTGGCCTGCGGGGAAAGCCGGTCAGCCGTGTCCCCCAGCTCAAAGGTCTGTGTCTGAGCTTTCTTGCCCTTTCCCTGGGGACCTTTCGTGCCACCCAGGCTGCGGGCACTGCCGCTGAGCTTCCTCCTGACTCCTGACGCTTCCGAGGTTCCAAGGACGCCACTAAACCAACACTGGGCACGCTGCTCTCTCCCTCAGCCACCCCCTGCAGCTCAGACTCTGGCAGCACGGGTCCCCTCACGCTTGCAGGCCACCTTGCATGTCACCAGCACCCCCACCCGGTGCTCCCTGCCCTGTTCAGTTCTCCAGCCACTTGGTTTATCCTCAACAGCCCGTCAGCCCACAGGAAGGAGGTTGGTGGGCACAACAGTTGCCTCTGTTGTTGACCGTTTGTTATATGCCTTAAATTCATTGTCTAGAACGTTCCCAACCCTGGAAGCAGGCATAATTAGCCCCACTTTGCAGACGAGGAAACTGATGTTCAGAGAGTAAAATAACTTGTTAAGTGACTGAGCTGTGTTCAGAATCGAGGTAGGTCCACTCTGAGAGGCCCCCACACACACATACCCCACAGTGCCTTCCAGAAAGTGCTGGAGAGATGCAGCGGGCACGTGCAGAAAGTGAGGTAACAGCGTCTGGAGGGGCCCAACAGCCTACACTGAGCCATTGGCCCAGCACCCCTGCCCTGCCTAGTGGCAGGAGAGAGACTCTAAGCAGAAACAAAATCTCTGGTGCAAAGTGCCTTTCCCTGAGCAGAGAACGACAGGGTCCTATACTGGCATGACAGAGAGCACAGCTTGGCCCCTGGGATCACTGCCACAGCAGCCCTTCACCGCCAAGAGAGGCTAGGGGAAGTGGTTTATGTCTGTTCTATCCTCACAGCCATAAGGCAGGCTCATTGGTGGGTTTGGGACCCTTAGCATTTTAGAATGATTCATAACACCCAGAAATTGATGCTACCTAAACTCACAATTGCAAACATCTGTTAAACTGTGATTAGATTCTACATGGAGAGAAAACTTTGAAATGTAGATATAAAGGAACCTGTGTTCAAGGGAAAAAATATCTTGTATCCTATTTTAAATTCCAAAACATTGTGGGACAAATAACTGTGACTTGAACGTTTGCTACAATGTTTCCTAAAATGATGTTTTATTGAATACTAGTCCACCAGAGGTTAATGGGTGTGTCCAGGAGGGGAAACAAGTGTTCCACTGCCTATTAAGTTTGGAAAAACAGGCTAACCAAAGTTTAGGTTTTGCTGCTGCAGGACTTGTCAGAGCCTTTAATGCAGATTGTGACCTTCTGAGAAGGTAACGTGAAGTGCATTTCCCAAATTTATTTGAACTAGGCCGGGTGTGGTGGCTCACCTATAGTTGTAGAATTCTGGAAGGCTGAGGCAGGTAGATCTATTGAGCTCACGAGTTCGAGACCAACCTGAGCAAGAGTGAGACCCTGTCTCTATTAAAAATGAAAAACTGAGGCAACAGGATTGCTTGAGCCCAAGAGGTTGAGGTTGCTGTGAACTATGATGCCATGGCACTCTACCAAGGGCCACAAAGTGAGATTCTGTCTCCAAACAAACAAACAAACAAGTAAACCAAATGTACTTGATTCCCCTCTGCCAACATCCCCTGAAAGAGGGATTGTTCAGGGCAACCTCAGCTTGGGAAATGCTGATGTAGTAGATGCTTTTGTCATGGCACAGACGGACGATGCTGGTGGATTTGGGCAAAGGAAGGAATATGTGAGCCAGGTCCACCTGGGGCTCTTATTAAAATGCAGATTTCTGGTGCCACATGAGACTTATGACCCAGTTATGGGGGAGGCCCAGGAGTCTGTATTTCAGCAACCTCTCCAGGTGATCAGCTGCACAGTAAAGTTGGGAAACCTCGGGGCTAGATTGGCAGTGTTGGCCCCTGTAGAAATCCAGTCTCCTGTAGCCAGTGAGAAGCTCCAAAGCGTCCCATGTCCAGAAAATGGACGGATCCTGGGGAAATGGGACGGGGGAACTATGACAATGAAACCAAAGAAAAGAAAATCTGTAATCAGGAGTTAGAGGTGATGCCGCCAGACGGCTCAGAGGACTGGGTTCCCAGGGGTGTGGCTTCCTAAACACAAAAGCCAGTGGTATAGGGTATCAGAAGATAACTAGTGTGTAGCTAATTTGGGGAAGCAGCAGGGATGGTCTCCTTTGGAGGCCTGTGGGTCAAAGGCTAGCCCAGAGGCTAGCTCAGGCCTGGCTGGTCTCATCCGGGAGCAGCTGGGACTGGTGACAGATGCACTGTTGGTGAGGGCAAGCTCTGAGGGTATGACCAGCACCTGGGGGACAAACACATCCCTACCAGGCTGCCTCCTATTCTGGGGACAGGTGACTAGGAAAGAGGTGGATGGTTAGCAAAAGATGGCCAGGAGAGTGGGCATTGTGACTATTGGTAAACTGGCCACATGTAGCAGGGGAATCAGAGGGGGTTCCAGTCAGTCCCCGAGGCCAAGAGAGTGAGCAAGAACCTCACAGGAGGTGGCACCCGTAGCTCAGTGGGTAGGGCGCCAGCCACATATACCCAGGCTGGTGTGTTCGAACCCGGCCTGGGCCTGCTAAACAACAAAGACAACTGCAACAAAAAAAATAGCCAGGCATTGTGGCAGGTGCTTGTAGTCCCAGCTACTTGGGAGGCTGAGGCAAAAGAATCCCTTAAGCCTAAGAGTTTGAAGTTGCTGTGAGCTGTGACTCCACAGCACTCTACCAAGGGTAACATAATCAGACTGTCTCAAAAAAAAAAAAAAAAAAAGAAAGAAAGAAAAAGAACCTCACAGGAGACCCAGGCCAGATCCATCAGTAGAGACAGCTCTACATAGGTAGAGACAACTCTGACCCTCGAGTCAGCTGGAGCCTGGCTGAACTGTCCCATCTTTGCAGTGGGGTTGGCCCCCGCTGGGTGGGGCTGACCCTGGCAGAGCCTGTAGGTGGGGAGCCTGTACCATCCACCTTTCTTAGCTTCTGTGCCAACGTGGACCCATGACAGTTTCCACTGCGTCCCTTCTGCATGGCCCCACCCTCGGCCAGCCCGCTGCCCGCTCCTGCCGATGTGTTGTGTTCGTACTAACAAAGAGAGACCTAGCAGATTCAAGGGGAAAGACAACCAGCGGGGTTCCCACCAGCCCCAACTAAACAAAACATGGACGGATCCCGGGGAAATGCAGCCTGACTGCAGCCGGGGGTCCCTGTGAACCACGCAAAGGGGTGTAACATACGTTCTCATTTTCTATTTTATCAGCTCGCATGGTCAGCAAAGGCAAAGATGGGACTGGAAACGATGACAGAAAAACCAAGGTAAGCTGACGGTGCCAGTGAAGTTTATGGAGAAGCTGTTTCCGAGGTCTGAGCTGATTCCCACATGGAACGTGGAAAGCATTTGTTGCTAAAGGATGACTGTTATTCAAAGCGATTTGTAATTGTGTGCAGGCTTTCAAAAGTTCAGCATTTATCTGTCTTGATACTTAATGCTAGGGAAGGGCAGCTCACAGGTTAATGTTCACTCTCCTGATTGCAGTTTCCTTAGCATAGTTTAAATGACACTCTGGGCTGGGCTTGGTGGCACATGCCTACAGTCCCAGCTACCCAGAGGCTGAGGGAGGGAGATCACTTGAGGCTGCAGTGAGCTATGACCTGCACTCTAGCCCGGGTGAGAGAGGAGACTCTGTCTTAAGAAAAAAAAAAGACACCATGACAGTAAATGAAGGTGTGTTTGAAAACCACCCTGAGGACAGTAGCTGAAGCAGCTTGCTCGCCACAGGCCCTGCCCGTCCTCAGCGTTCAGTCTCGCCTGAGTTTACGAAGTCAGTGACTTTGCACCTTGGAAAATGCTCCCATCACTGCACAGCCCTGTATTTCCTAGAAAATCCCACCATGGCCCTAGATCAGACCTATTTTTCCTGAAGTTATCTCACATTTCCAATATAAATTCTGTCTGAAACATCTGGATTTTAATCAGGACTGGCACTGTTAGGGGGTCTCCAGATGCAGAGTGTGGCTATAGCGTCAGGGTGCTGGCAGCTCCTGGCAGTGTCTTCAGGGCCCCCATCACGAAGGCTTTACCCGGCAAGGCAGCTGAGGGCCCCACAGGGGCTAGGAGAGCTCTGGCCTGATGCCGGAAGTGGTGGTGACTGCTGCTCCCCCACGTAGTGCTCCCACATACTCCCCCATGTAGTGCAGGGGCAGGCAATACTGGCCCCACGCAGCCACGCGCTCATTCATTCGTTCATTCATTCGTTTGTTCATTTGGCACACACGGGTACAACATCTCTGCCCTGGAGTTGCTCAGAGTTTGAGGAGGGGGCAGACCTGCTGCAAACCTTGGCCAGGTGGCGAGAGGCCTTGCACAGTGAGGGGAGCAGCAGTCACCTGTACCCACCCTAGCTGTTCTTCCTTGTCACCAGCCCAGGGCCACAGCCTGTGCCTCTTCCTTCTCACTGTTGCCCCATCCCTTGGGGCTCTCCTCACCAAGGCTGGCCCGAGTGGGTCTCAGTCACCTCCCTGAAGAATTTGAGAACGATGAGGAAACACTCCCAAGAAACCCAATGATGTCTCTGTCCCGACCTGGCTCTATGGCTCTGCCTCTCTCCCTGGAGCGCCCCTAGGCTTAGCCTCCCCTTTCTGATAAAGCCCCCAGAGACAGAACCAACCATGAGTGTCAGCCACCACCAGGTGCCCTTCCCCAAGGGGAAAGCTCCCTCCCTGAGGGTATCTAGCTGCAGGGACCCCTGTCCCCAGGCTCTTTGCTTTTGTGGAACCTTTTCAAAAGTTAACAGTGGCCAGATTGGAATTCACCAGGTGGCTTTAATGTTAGTTTTATCTAAGAGTTTAACTGGAAAGGGCTTGTGGGTGTGTGTGCGCGTGTCCTTGCGTGCTCACATAGGGAACCTAAACTGTGTCAGACAGAATCTTTAAGACTTAGGGCAGGCACCATCCTCTTTGTAGCATTGTTCTGTCAGAGGGGTCGAAGGGGATACAGGGCTGGTGGGCAGGCAGAAGCTCCGCACCTGAATTCGAGTAGAAAGTGGGACACTTCTGACGTGTGACACACTGGGGACATTTCCTTGAGAAACATCCTAAGACTCAGGTACCTTGGTGATCTCCTTTGATGTATTCATATGAAGCACCTTTAAACCAGTGGTCTCCAATGTCGGGGACACAGAAGATCCACTGGGGCGGAGAAAGAACATTCTAGAACTTCTATTCATTTTACATCTTCTCGTTTGAAAGTTCTGCTGTATGTAAGTTTAATCACGGGTGTTATAGTGGGTGTGTCCAGCTGGTAAACAGCTCCGTGAGGAGGGAGCACAGGCCCCTTCCTGCTCCTGCCCATCAGAAAGGCCGATAAGGGGATGTGAGCCAAATAGCGCAAGATCACTGCTTTAAACCGCGACTGCCTTATTTGTTTTTAGTTATTGTCCTTTTTTCAGTTTGTTTCCCTCCCCCATGTGCTGACTTTTATTTTGATTTTATTTATGTTTATATTTAAGACATCCACACCTTCCTGTGCTAAAACCCTGAAAAATAGGCCTTGCCTTAGCCCCAAACGCCCCACTCCTGGTAGCTCAGACCCTCTGATCCAACCCTCCAGCCCTGCCGTGTGCCCAGAGCCACCTTCCTCTCCTAAACACGTCTCTTCTGTCACTCCCCGAACTGGCAGTTCTGGAGCAAAGGAGATGAAACTCAAGGTAAGGAAACCACCTTTGAAAAGACCCAGGCAGCTCTACTGTGGTTCGCTGTAACAGGTGCTGAGCTGCTGATTTCTGTCTGGAGTTTGCAAGTGTGTTCTTAGCCTCAAAGACCTTTCTTCATAGGGCAGCCAGGATTCTGAGTAGAGAGGGGAGGGGACCTCAGAGCCATGCCTCTCAGCAGTGGGATTCTGGTTTGAACACTGCCACATTGATTGGGTTCCTTTCTCCATTCCTGGCTTTGATAGCCAGAAGTGCTTCCGGACTGCCCTCACTTGGGTTGGACAGCCGTCACCACGCACCTGTCCCACCAGCTCACACCTCCTAACCCATCTTGTGGTCCTTGGTTAATGTCTGCTTCTTTTTTGAGTTTGTGTTGTGTCTGAAGGTCACCCGCTGGGTAAGCAGTCCCAGCCACTGCCCGTGCTCAGCAGACTGTGCTGTGCCAGTCCTTGCTCCCGACCTCTGGCCAGTTTGTTGGTTGATGCTGGGGTTCACTGCCAAGGGCTCCCAGCACACCTGAGGAGTTACTGAGACCTGGGTCACTCAGGGGTTTGGGGAGAGAATAAAAAAATACCACCTAGCTCTGTTTAACATTCCTTGGTCAGGTTTTCAGCAAACAGTTGTCTCCAGGTATCTCTGGAGAAATCACCCACCATTAGTCAATTAAATCCATAATCAGAGTCAGAAAATGGGCTTCTAAAGGCATGGTCCACTGATGTCTTGCACATTAATTGACACTGAGTAGACAGTGACCCTGACCATTGCTATAAGCTTCGTAGTCTTTTTGTAAAATATGTTAGCACGACTCATGCTGGTAACTCATGTGAATAATTCCTCTGGGAGGAAATGGTCACAGGACACTTGGCATTTGGGTGAAGCGGTGAAGCTATGTGGGTTTATGTGCCTAGCTAACCCTTGTGATTGGAGAAGACAGTTGTTGCATCTGGTAGGCAAAGGATCACCCCCAATCTCATTGAGACAAGGGGTAGATGGGGCTGGCATTGACTCTCAGCAACTAACTTTTCCCAATGATAAAAACCACTCTGCCCCAATTACTTGCAGGGTGCTGATGGTAAAACGAAGATCGCCACACCCCGGGGAACGGCCCCTCCTGGTCAGAAAGGGGCCAACGCCACCAGGATTCCAGCAAAAACCCCGCCTGCCCCTAAGACACCACCCAGCTCTGGTAAGGAGACTGTGTTCCTGAAACTTAGTCAGAGGATGCTCTCAGAAGGGACAGCCATCATCCCAGGATGCCCCGACGTCCCCATGCTCCAGCTGACCGTCACCTTCCTGTTCACTAAGTTGTGTTTGCTCATTTTCTTATTTTTTCTATATTTTTCTTTTCTTTCTTTCTTTCTTTCTTTTTTTTTTCTGTTTGTTTGTTTTGAGACAGAGTCTTACTTTGTTGCCCTGAGTAGACTGTCATAGTGGCATGGCTCACAGCAACCTCTAACTCCTGGGCTCAAGCCAGGAGTCCCTCTGCCTCAGCCTCCCAAGTAGCTGGGACTGCAGGAACCCACCACAATGCCAAGCTAATTTTTCTATTTTTAGGAGAGATGGGATCTCCCTCTTGTTTAGACTGGTCTTGAATTCCTAAGTTCAGGCAGTCTACCCGTCTCAGCTTCCCAGAGTGCTAGGATTACAGGTGTGAGCCACTGTGCCTGGCCTCATTTTCTTCTTAAACTTTTTGATGTCTGAGGTAGACATCAAATCCCCACTTTGTATCAGTGAATGAAGAAATTGACCCTAAGAGCTTATTTTTGAGACAGAGTCTCACTTTGTTACCCTCGGTAGAGTGCTGTGACATCACAGCTCACAGCAACCTCTAACTCTTGGGCTTAAGTGATTCTCTTGCCTCAGCCTCCCAAGTAGCTGGGACTACAGGTGCCTGCCACCATACCTGGCTTTTTTTTTTTTTTGCAGTTGTCATTATTGTTTAGTAGGCCCAGGAGGGGTTCCGACCTGCCTGCCTCAGTGTATGTAGCTGGTGCCCCAACCACTGAGCTACAGGCGCTGAGCCTAACACTGAGAGTTTGCTGGACTCAGTCTAACTGGCTCATTTTAGCAGAATGTAGTCACGTGACTAATAAGTGGCAGGTAAGGGGCTTCTCTCAGCTTCTCTGACCCCAAGGCCAGAGTTCCAGGGAGGCAGCCCAGTGTGGGGTGTTTCAGTCCCAGATGAATCAGAGCAGCCCCTGAGACAGTCACCCTGCAGGCTTGGCTTGGAATCTTCTGGCCAAACCCAGGGGTCTTAGCTGAGCAGTCGCACAGTGTGCCCACTCCCCCGGCTCCTATCAGTAAGTCCTGTTGGTTCTGAGCGCCCAGCAGGGCTTCAGTCAAGTGTTCTGCATCCAGTGGTGCCATGGAGAGCAGTCACCCTCTTTGGGGACTAGGGACAGCCTGGTTTAGCATGTTCCCTCTCCCACTGCCCTGGTGACCTATTCCAGGCAGCTGGGTTTAGATTCTGCCCCACTCAGGGGACATCTGGCCTCCATTTGCTCCTTGGTGGTGCCCAGGCTGCCTGTGGCCCTTGCAGTGGGTGGTGGATGAAGCCTGGCCTGGATTTTGCCTATGCTGCTTCTCCTTGATCGGAGGAAGCCTCTCAGAGCCTGCCTGCAACCTGCTGTGTTTTTTTGTGGCGGCATTTCACCCTCCTGTGTGATGAGATGGCACCTGCAAGGAGCTGCTCTTAAAGGCCCACTGGTGTTTGGGTTTTTTTCGTTTGTGTTTCCTTGCCTGGTGCTTTCCTCAGATACATACAATCTAGGGATTATTAGCAGAATTTTGGTTGCATTTTATATACAGGTTGGATCCTGCCTTGTTTTCACTTAACATCAGCCCAGTTAACTCATACTGTTTAACAACCTGAAATGAGGACATGCATTTATTTCTCTTTGGGTCTTACCTGCTCCCAGGTGGCTGCCTGCAGGTGGGCACATCCTCCCTGTTGGGTCCCTTTGACCTGCTCCCACCAGCACGGGCCCTGGTCCCTGAATCCACTCCCTGCCTCCCTCTGGGGCACTGGCTGGGCCATTCATGGCCTCCCCAGTGGAGAACTCATTAAGGCCCTGTTTAAGCCTGACTATAACAAGACTTTCTGTGGATCTTTTTTTTTTAAGCTACCAAGCAAGTGCAGAGAAAGCCACCCCCCGCAGGGGCAAAGTCTGAGAAAGGTAATTCTGAGCCTGCTTCACTGGGGGACAGACCCCCTCTGCGTGGCTGATCATTGGCTTATGTTTCTAGAGCTGGGAGGCTCCGCTTCTAAATGCAGGTTTCCTGTACTGAGCCTGAGGACAGAACAGCCTGGACTCGTTTTTCTTCCTGTGTGTGGTTTGCGTAGATTTGTCCGCCTGATGGACTTTCTAACCCTGCGTGTTCTCTACTCCAGGGACATGGGCATGGTCAGGGGCTATGGGGGTGGGGAGCATGTACCCAGTATTTGGGGATGAAGGAGGTTTGGACTGTCCCAAGATGTGAAAGTCCCACTGGCCTTTATGAGCACCAGATGCCATGCTGGACGCTACCTACCAGTTTCAAAACACAGGCTTAGGGAGGGGAAATGACTTGCCCAAGGTCACTGTGCAAGTAAAAAGACACAGAAAGGGTTTGAGCCACCACTGCCAGGGAGCCAGGACGGTAGGAGGGCTGAGGAGGTAGAGCCTCCCTCCCCCATCTCTTGTTTCCTTAAGTGGAAAAGAAGAAAAAGCTTCCATTGTTTTTTTATTTTTATTTTTATTTATTTATTTTTTGCAGTTTTTGGCTGGGGCTGGGTTTGAACCCACCACCTCCAGCATATGGTGCCGGCGTCCTACTCCTTTGAGCCACAGGCGCCACCCGAAAAAGCAAAAAGCTTCCACTGTTGCCACAGAGCTTGACTAAGACTTTAGTGATGCCCAAGACATGAAATCCAAATTCTCAAAACTGGAGAATTCCAAATTCTTCCCTTGACGAGTTTCCCGCTGGCTGCTTGAGCACTTCCTACAGAGTGGCTCTCCCCTTCCTGCCATCCCTTTGGTTCAGCTGATCCTGGGGCAGGGAGGGGGCCAGCAGAGCTGAGGCTGTCAGAGCTGGAGGGGACCACATAACACCTTGGACTCATTACTGGGGGGCGGGGGGAGGTACTCAAACCCAGTCTGCTCAAGAATCCCTGGGGAACTTGAGAGAAAAATAGTCTTCCAGGGCCCACCTCAAGAGATTGTGCAATATCAGAGCTGGATGGGGCCCAGAAATCTGCATTTTATATGTCCTTCCTCCTCCTGGAAAGCGCCAGGGATTCTGATGCAGGCGTCCACTTTGAGAAGCACTGACCCCCACAGCAGACAGAATAGTAAAGTGCTGAAGGGTAATGGGTGCCTGGAGTACAGTACAGGAACAAGTTCAGGGGTAAGGGCTACCCAGAGGAGGGAGGAACAGAGTCTGTCCCGAGAGGAAGGAAGACTCAGCCTTCCTGGTGGTGCCTAGAAGGGCAGGTGAGTTGGTATTTGCCATGCCTGGTGGGCAGGAAGGACGTTCTGGGAGAGGGAACAGGCAGGGCACCATAGCATGAAGTGGCTTGTCTTGTCTGGAGAGCTAAGGACCCATGGACATGAGCCCAGGCTCCACAGAGGAGTCAGAGAGGGTGGGCAGAGCCCTGAACTTTACCCTGTGGGTAAAGGGTCACATGGACCCGGACCTCAGAGTGCTGCCTAGAGTCTGTCTCCTTTGAAGGCATTATAATTATGTCCATTTTCAAGTTGAAGTCTCTAAGCTCAGAGAGGGAAAGTGACTTTCCTGAGACCACATAGCTAGCTGCAGCCCATCTCTTGACCCAGGACTGTGGGGTAAAGTTGGTCCCCTCTCTGGTAGGGGGTGTAGGGTGGTCCTTTGACAACCACTCTGTTGCTTTCCAGGGAGATGGGCTGTTTCTGTCCCTAAGTGACCAGGCCAGGAGAAGGTACTTCTCTGGAGATGTGCTTAGGGCTTCCTCCTGCTGGTGGCACTGAGCCGTCCACCTTTTCGACTACCTAACCCAGTCCTGAGCCTGGGAATGGACTCACAGCGCAGGCAGCCCCCAGGCTGGCTAACACCCCTGCCGGTCCTGGCTTCATTCCCTTCCTTCCTTCTCAGGTGAACCTGCCAAATCTGGGGATCGTAGCGGCTACAGCAGCCCCGGCTCCCCAGGCACCCCTGGTAGCCGCTCACGCACCCCGTCCCTGCCGACACCTCCAACCCGAGAGCCCAAGAAGGTGGCAGTGGTCCGCACTCCACCCAAGTCACCATCTTCCGCCAAGAGCCGCCTACAGACGGCCCCCGTGCCCATGCCAGATCTGAAGAACGTCAAATCCAAAATTGGCTCCACCGAGAACCTGAAGCACCAGCCAGGAGGCGGGAAGGTAGGGCACGCAGTGGCTGGAGGTGCATGGAGGGTGGGGTTCCCCACCCTGGGCTGGGCTCTCACCCTCACCCAGCACCCCTGGATCCCTCCAAGGAAGGAGGCTCAGGGGGTAGTTCAGTTCTTTATCGGCTCACTCCCCGCTCCCTGAGGGCCCTGCTCAGGGAGAGAAGGATCCTGCTATGGGGCAGAAGTGGCAGGGCTGTATCTCCAGGGCCTGTGGCTCTCAGCATGGGGGCACCACAGCAGTTCCCCAGCTGCCTCGTGGTTAGAATGTGGCACAGTCTGTAGGTGGCATCTCTGGCGTCTCTTGGGCGACTGCTCAGGTTAGGTTTCTCTTGAACCTCAGTTCTGGGAAAACTGAGCGTTGTATTTTGATCAGTTGATTATTCAGAGGTGAGCAGGTGCTCATGAAATCCTTAAGCTCTCTAAAGGTGGAGAAACATGGGCTTCCGAGGGGCAGCCTGGACCACCCCCTCCTGTCCCTGTGCTCTCGTCCCAGGTTGTTAGGTCTGGCACACAGGGTGCTACCGTCACACAGCACAAATGCATTTCCTCCTAGTTCTGGAGGCACCAAGTCTGAGATCACAGTGTCTGCAGGTGTCTTCTGAGGCCTCTCCCCTGGCTTGCAGGCGGCCAGCTCCCCCCATCACATGGTCTTTGGGCAGATTTCTGGTATCTTTCTGTGTCCTGTTCTCTTCTTCTATAAGAATGCCAATCATGGCTGGGTATGGTGGCTCACTCCTGTAATCCTAGCACTCGGGGAGGCAAAGGCAGGAAGATCACTTGAGCTCAAGAGTTCAAGGGCAGCACCTGTGGCTCAAAGGAGTAGGGCGCTGGCCCCATATCCCGGAGATGGCGGGTTCAAAACCAGCCCCGGCCAAAAACGGCAAAAAAAAATGTCCAAAAAAAAAAAAAAAGAAAATAGCCTTAATCAGAATTCCCTTATAATACTGAATTAAGTGCCTCGGCGTCTGTAGCTCAGCAGCTAGGGTGCCAGCCACATACACTGAGGCTGGCAGGTTTGAACCCAGCCCAGGCCTGCTAAACAACAATGACAACTACAACAACA